GGCCATGGTGGCGGTGGTTCCGGCGAACTCCGGTGAGGGCAACGGGCCTGGTAAGCATCAGGGAAGGAAGGGGAGCGCGGTGGTGGCGGCAACTCGGCCTGGGGCGGTCGGGAGCGGCGGCGCGCCGTACGGCTGGCGGCGGCCGAACAGAGGGCGACGCCGGGAAGCGGCACCGGTGGCATTCCGGCGACGGATTGGATGGGGAAAGAGAGGGGAAAGGGAGTACTCGGCATGGAGAATCCGTTTTTACCTTCAATTTCAGAGGATTTGCAATGTATGTGACGAATTTGGGAGCTCTATCAATGGTGCAAATTTAGGGTTTCGGGGATTTTTCCTCCGGTGATGACGATTTGATTCAGCGGAAGTAGGGGCGGACTTGATGAGGTGAAAGAGGTTGAAAATGCGCTTCTTTTGCCTCCAGTCTTGAGCCTTCTAGTTGAGAGACGAAGGAGTTACAGAAGCGGGAAGATGGAGGTGTCGCGGCGGCATTCATTCGTCGTTCGTCCTCGTGCGAGCGTGTGCGGGCGTGTGGCGCGCGCGGGGCGGCATGAGCTCAGCGCGAGCGCGGCGCGAGGCGGCACAGGGTTGGCGTGAGGCAGCTCGAGCGCGGCTTGCATCGGGCTGGCTTCGCCTGGCTCGGCCTAGCCGAGTAGAGGAAGAAGAAAGAAAAGAAAAACAAAGAAAGGGAAGGAGAGGGAACAAAAATAGAAAAAGGAAAAAAATTTGGAAAAATAAAATTAAGGTGGAAATAGAGAAAAGGAAAATTTGGGGAAGATTAAAATAGATAGGATTTGAATTGGTGTGGAATTTAGATGGTCCGATATTCGGGATAGAATTAAATCGGATCAAAGGAATTATTTGAGGGATGATATGCACTTTGCGACAAAATCAAATGAGAAAAGAAACGTCGAATACAAACATGGAAAATAATATTTTAAATGAACTACTAACTCGACGGTTATTTTTTTTAGAAGATTAAAGCAAACTAAATCGGTTTTAAAAAGTTGTCAAATTTTAGGGCTGTTACGTTTGAGGAATACCAAATCGATAGATTATATGTTCTTAAACAAATTGTATAGCATCCCCAGAATCAACCTTCTTCAAAGGAATCGCCTCCACCCACTTGGTAAAATAATCGGTTGCCACCAATATAAACTTATGTCCTTTACTCGATGGTGGATTAATCATGCCGATCATATCAATTCCCCAACCTCTAAATGGCCATGGCTTAATGATAGGATTCATAGCTGACGCCGGTGCCCTCTGAATTGCTCCAAATTTCTGACAATCTTGACACCCTTTGTAATATTTGAAACAATCCTCTAGCATTGTTGGCCAAAAATACCCTGCACGTCGAAGCAACCACTTCATCTTATGAGCCGATTGATGAGTGCCGCAAATCCCTTCATGAACTTCGCCGATTGCAACCTTAGCCTGATCGGCACTCAAACACTTAAGCAACACCCCATCAATCGTCCGATAATAGAGTTCGTCAACCAAAAAAGTATACTTTAACGCCTTATATCTCAATTTCCGAGAAGCCGACTGAGATCGATTCTGTAAATATTGATGCACATCATATCTCCAATCATAGGCTGTTATTACAGCAACTACAACCTTAACATCTTTGATCATCGGCTTATACCCTGATGCCCCTGGGCCAAATCATTAGCTTCAATATTTTGCTCTCGAGAGATATATGCCTCAAAGTAACCAGCCGAAATTCCCTCATTAGTTCTTGGCACTTCTCATTATAAACCATTAATGTATCATTCTTGCATTCATATTTTCCTGCCAATTGACTGATTACTAGCAAAGAATCCCCCATAATTTCAATAGCATCGGTTTCAACTTCCTTGAGCAATTGCAACCCTTTAAGAACTACCTCATACTTAGCTTAATTGTTGGTTGCATAAGGTTTGATAGTATAAGCAAACTCAAAACGTGCCTCCTGAGGGGAAATTATAACCAAGCCGATGCCACAACCATGAGTGCATACTGACCCATCAAAGAATAAAGTTCATGGAACAATCTCAACCGAGCCGATTGAATCATCACGATGTTCTACAATAAAATCGGCTATAGCTTGCCCTTTGACCGCCTTCAATGACTCATACCGAAGGTCAAACTCAGTTAAGGAAAATATCCACTTTCCAACCCTTCCTTTCAAAATTGGAGCCGATAACATGTATTTAACGACATCGGCTTTGCATATGACAGTGCATTCGTTGGACAATAGATAATGCCTTAACCTTGTACATGAAAAATATAAGCACAAGCACAACTTCTCCACAGGAGAATATCTAGTCTCTGCATCCAAGAGCCGATGACTCAAGTAGAATACAACTCTTTCTTTCCCTTCGAGCTCCTGAATCCAGACCGAGCCGATTGACTTCTCACCGACCGACAGATTTAACCTAAAAGGTATCCCCTTCTGTGGAGGAATCAAAATTGGAGTATTCCTTAATATTATCCAAAGCTTTTTGCTGCTCTGCCCCCCAAGTAAACTGCTGATCGGCCTTTAATTGTAATAAATCGCGTAAAAGGCTTTATAATCTTCCAGATAAATTAGAAATAAACCTTCTAACAAAATTTATCTTGCCGATCATCTCCTGTAACTCTGTCTTGTTCTCCGGAGGCTGAATCTTCTTGATTGCATTAACACTCCTTTGAGTTACCTCGATCCCCCTCTCATGAACAAGAAACCTCAAGAACTGGCCAGCTGATACACCAAAAGCACATTTTGTCGGGTTCATCTTCAGGCCATATTTCCTGGTTCTCTCAAAAACCTTCCTCAAATCAGCTATGTGGTCTTCTATCTCTTTAGATTTAACAACCACATCATCAATGTAGACCTCGACCAACCAGCCGATCAGATCATGATATATATAATTCATGGCTCTTTGATATGTAGCCCCAGCACTTGTCAAGCCAAAACTCATTACAACCCACTCAAACAAGCCGATTGCACTAGGACACCTAAAAGCTGTCTTATGGATATCTTCTTCGGCCATAAAGATTTGCATCGTCGTCCTCCCCATCACCCGCCACCAACGCCTACTCCGTCCAACCCGCCACCAACACCGAATCCTCCACCCACCCGCAACCACCGCCAACGCCCCCGCCGCTGAGTTAGTTCCAGATCCGCCGTCGGGCTGACTCCTACTCCTCCCCGCCGCGGACGCCATCGCCGCCGATGCCTACTACTCCGCTCCGATTCCCATCTAGCAAGCAGAGCAGGGATTGGGGGGGCATCCCTGGTGAGCATTCCATATCCTTTTTGATGAACCCTGAGTTCCTCTCGACACTCACGGCTCTTGTTGGCCCGATCTTTCGGTGAGTTGATGATAACTACAATTTGGGAGAAACGTTGACAACCCGACTACAACCGTACGAGACGTTGTGTTGCGCCTTAGCGATCGATACACCTCTCCGTGGGTTGTTGATCTTGCCGGTGCAGATCAACCCTATTCCTGCAAGCAAATCGAAGTAACAAGCAAGAACAAGATAGAAAGCAACTGAATTGCTAGATAGACAAGACACACAAAGATGAATTGATACACGATAAAGTGGGGTTCCGAACAAGCAGACGGACGGTCTAGCCGACACGCGCGCTGCAAGCGAAGTATCAATGGCTAAACTTACAATTAATCAAAACCCGAGAAACTCTAGAGGGCTACCTAGCTATTTAAGGAGGTGGGAGGTCCTCTAGGTCGTCCTCCACCTGGTTGGGGTGCACCCCACAAGGGCCCCATTTGGGCCGGGGTCCCAGACAAAGTTACAAGCCCATAGGCCCATTACAGGTGTCGCAGCACCTTGTTTCTCCAGTTTCTGCCGACTGAGATGTAATTTGGCAATGAGGCTGGATCCGTTGGAAAGAGGACTTCGAGAGCTTTCCATCAAGTACTCATGGGCCGAAAACGGAGGTCGTATGCAGATTCGGCGGCCGTTTGAAGTCAGCAGTGTAGCAGGTGGCCGAATTGGATTCTGGCACTTGGAGGACTCGAACTTGATATGTTGTTGTTCATCCATGATGTGAGCAACGGATGTATCCGTAGTAGCCATGGTTACATCACTTTTTCTCATTCATCTCTCTATGTCCCACCCATTTTTGCCTGGAATTTTATTGCGTTAACCATAGCTTCTCTTAGAGATCTGGATGATGCTTTTCTCTTAGTTTAATTGTCCCCCCCCAAAAAAAAGTCCAAGTTGGATCTGCCCCTGCTATGGATAAATAAGATTAATCTGAATCACAGGCCCTTCAATCCCTTCTCATTTGTAATCCTAAGCAAATTAATAAGCTACATGGATGTTGTTCTTGTAATTTATTTGGAGTAATCAGTTTAATTGAATCACAATAGCAATGTGTTTCCCCAATTTGGTTTTGTCACTTTCAAAAAAGAAAAAGACATTTATGTTTCACATTTATGTTTCACTTTCAATTGTTCTGTTGTGTACTATAGTCTAGCCAATTTATTCAACTATTCTGCTTTGGGTCCGCTCGTTATCCATCTGCTCATAGTCGTCCACTCACTAGTGTTTCCCTGGTGAAAGACTGAAGTGGCATATTTTCTTATGATGTAGGACATACGAACTAAGCTCTTGCACGCCGCACAGGTTATCACAATGATATGTGCATGGGATATGTTTAATTACTCAATTTTACATAACGATTTGAGTACTCAACTTTTGGGATATATGTGCATGGGATATGTGCATGTGATATGTGCATGGGATATAAAGAACTTCTGATTTTGATTCTGAAGTTATTTCTTATCTTGGGATTCAGATGGCATTTACTTTAGAATTTAATCAAAACACCAGTACACAAGGATTTTAGAATATGAACTTTTGGATGCAGGATGCTAGCGCGGAGAACTAATCCAGTGCCCGAACTCTGCTTGATCTAACATGGTGGCTGACATTGACAAGTGAATGCTTGTGTGGAACCTCCTGATATTCCAGAATGGCAGATAATCATTTCCTTTGGCTAATTTTCACTGTTATTCGTTTCAGCAATAATAATACATTTGTTCCACTATGGAGAAGCACCTGGCCCTTGCGTACATCAGGATCAAGCTAAGGTGATCTTCATTTTATCCTGATGAATCTTAGAGCAAATAGGTGTGCATGGGCACAATGTTCTAAAATACATGGGGAGGACGGTTATTACCAGGAGTGAAAGTCTCCTACTGCAGCATATCAGACTTAATCAGAACTAGGAGTAGTGCACTATAGTTACTTTCTACTCCATCATGCAGATAAACCATGAAACAGTACTATGTTTTACTACTAAATTTCCCCACCTCCTTTTCAGAATTTAAGACATCATATTCTTATATTTTTTTCTATTCAAAACTATGTGTTATTCTACTTCTATAGGAAATTTCCTATGTATCCTTTTCCTCAAGGTGTTTTGTATATCTCTTTTCAAGATACTTGCATAAGTATGTATTGGTAATTCTTAAGTGGAGTCAATAATCCATAGTTTTACATAGGTTTCCATGATGGAACATGATTTTTTTTTAGGACTACCGACTAGACGAGTAAGGTATTTATCAGTTGAATTTGCCAAAACAGAAAATTTGATTTCTAGGGCTTGTGATGATGAAGAGACAGTGTGGTCAACCCATTCGGCAAGAGTGAAGGAAATTATTTTGAGGAAGATCAGCATACTGCAGAATGCTCGGTTACTCACAAGGTATTTGTGGAATTGCCTCGTAAATTTTCTGCATGTTAGTGCTCTATTTTTTTCGGCATAAGTATGCATGGTCAAATTATAATTATCAGTTAGTTGTTATATGTTAAATAGTAGAGAAATTTTACCATCCTTGAGGAAGGGAGGTACCAAATAAGAGCCGTAGATTAACCAGAATCGAATGGCTGAGAGGAATCGGTACCTCGCGGTATCGCCCCAACGTCCACCAGGTACTCCGCATGGATGAGTTCATTGAGGGGCAAAATTGTATTTTCGCGTAGTCAGCGGCGTTGCCTGAGCAGCCCATCCCCTTCCTCTTCGCACCTCACCTCGCCAGGATCTGGCTAAGGGCGGTGGCAAGAACGACTAGGATCCTCGAATTTGCTAGCGGGTAGGCAACAAGAGCGACGAGGAGATGGCCAAAGTGACAAGCTGAGCATGCAAGGATTGGCTCGACTTCCCTCCGCTTGGTCCGCTCCCACCGCTGCTGGTTCAGTATCGAGCTAATCCCAGCCGCCCTCGATCTCTGGCTGATCTCTTCCGTGGGGACACCTTGAATTGTTCTTTGTTGCTATTGTTCGTTTTCCGCCGGTCCTTCTTGCTGCTATGATTTGTGTTGTGGGGTTTGTTGGATCAAACATAAATGGCTGTATGCTACCCTATAAGCTGAATTAGCAGTTCGATATTGATGAACTAAAAACAAGGTAAAAATTTTGGATGTGATGTAAATAATATCGTTTCCTTTCACCCGCCTCCTAGTTCCTCCCTCTTGGCCTCTTTTCAGATCAAAGCACCAAACTCAAATTGTTTGCCGTCATGTGAGTTCCCCTTGCAAGGCATCCTACACCTTTTGATCAATCTAATTTCACTACGGCATCTGTTTCTTCTTTTTGTTTTCCCGTCTTGTCTGTTTCGCGAGAGGAGGTAATCGTCGGGCTTGTGCAGATCGAGAACAGGACGCTCAGCGAAGCGGTGCTGGATTCCATCATCGTCGAGCACGAGGTCTCGCCGGCGGTGAAGATGAGCATAGCGGCCCATGTCTCGCAGCTCCTGAAGGCGGAATCCACTGCCGGCCTTGATGCGACAGGCGGCCGCGGCGGGGTTAATGCGATGGCGCCGCGGCGGGAGACCACCTCGATGTGGCGCCACCGCGGAGGCCTTGATGCGACGGCGATGCGGCAGATGGAAGGGAGAAGAAGAGGGTGGCACGGAGGAACTCGTTATTGGTCGAGTGGGCGGTGATAAGCAGCGGTACCTCATTTTCGTTAGCCGATCATACCCCTGCTAAACCAATGGTTAGATTAGATTGGTACCTCATGGTACCTCGTAGTACCTCCTCAAGGATGGGAAAGATGCTCTAAATAGTAATAAGACCCAGGATAACCTCAGGATGCATGGGGCTGAAAAGTTATAAATGAGATGCATTTACCTCATCATGACATATTTTCCTTTGGCATTTCTTTTGTATTATGGAAAATAAATCAGTCTGAACTTCTTGGTTCCATACTTGCAGCAGTAACAACTAATGAGAAGTTTAGATAAAATAAGTGTGTATATTTGTGAATTGCTTGTAAATATTCCAATAGCGATTGTTGCATGCTTTGCCAATCAGTTAGGTACATGGACCCATGTTCAATGGGAGACGTAGATAATCTTGGCATCAAAATATAATCTTGAACTTACCTTTTCAGTTACCCACTATAGAATATTAAAATTGCTAACATACTGTTATTAAGTGAACATCAAATATTCTAATATATTACTATTAAATCATTCGAGAACAGAGTGCTTAGGTTGTTTCAGGATTTCCTATCTTAGTTCACAGGTCCTCATTCTGAAGCATTTTTCAGGCAAAAACCAACTGTACTGGTTTCTCAATTGAAGAGAGAATCATTTGAAACAGACCCTCCTAGCAATCACTTTGTGGATACTTTCAGAAAACAGCACCCAAATGATGATGCTTTTATTGAAGAAACAACAATTGTTGAACCTTCGTGTAATATTTGTTGAACCTTATGTGAGATTGTTTTGTTTTGTTCTGAATTGCAAACCGCAGCTTGTGTCCTTGGTGCACTTTTGTTTTGTTCATGTATGTATTTGTGTGTGGTGTGGATGAGCTATGCACTGAATAGGATCCCCCGCGTCGGTGTGGACGTTTGAACTTTCTGGTGGTTCTTGCAGCCCTGAGTAGCTAGGTTGGATCCACTTGTGATGTAGTCTATGACTTTGCATAACGTTATTTGCACTGACACTATGCAAATACTTATTGTAGTTGTTTTGTGTAACATTATCTCGACAAAGTATGAAAAGCAATATGCATTGACATAGATGTATATCATATTAATATTTGCCTTATTAACGTTTTCTTACCACGGAATTACATTCCATGATTATTTAACATGATTTCATCCGGTGTGATTTTTCCCGTTGCAACGCACGGGCACCTAACTATTATCGATGAAAACCAATCTGTCCAAGGTTGAGGCAAAATAGTACCTGAGTTATAGAGGATTTGAGATTGTAAATCGTCACCAATCGCATGGAGTATCCTGTGGTTGCTGGTCCTCTCTAACACCTCTGTATCGTTAATTTCTCTGTATCGTTAATTTCTACCAGAGAGATGAGACCGATCTGTATCTCTCACCATTACTGCTGATCTTTTTTTTCTCTTTTTTTTAAGAGGGACCATTACTGTTGATCTGTTGTAGAGAAAAAATAGATGGGCTCAAAGAGCCCACGAAGTTAGAAGGCAAATTAGCCCACCACATTAGATTTGTGCGTACGGCCGTGATAGTAAAATTGATTTAATCAACGATTAGATTTCTCCAGTTAACATGTAAGCTCGTAGAAAGTACCCAATTAGTAGTATAAATATTGATATTGATATTGATTGATTAATTGATGATGCTATAGTAAATATGTGCTAATTATGAATTAACTGGGCCTAAAAAATGTCTCATGAATTTGCTCTCATTTAAGCAATTAGTTTTATAATTAGTCTATGTTTAATACTCTAAATTAGCGTCCAAACCTCCGATGTGATAGGGAGTAAAGTTTAGTCCCTGATCCAAACAACACCTCAATCAGACGGCAGCAAAATTTTTGGTGACATGGCCCGCGCGATTATCGCCCCCTTCCGCCATACTTTATATTCCCCGATATTCGGTGCAAAAAGCAAAGTCAGAATTGCATAGGAATAAGCAATCAGATCCATCTAATTAGATATGAAGATTTGAATTTGTATCAAATGCACTTAGCAGTATGACCGTTTAATGAGGGCATCATTTGTGCTCAATCCATTTCTCCTATATTACAAACAGACGGCTACTTACATGCACAACAGATTGGTGCAAATCCTCTGCGTGTCAGTGTCACTATGTGAGAGAAATTCCAGACAACTCTAGTATAATGTCACTCTGCTGATTAAAAATAATGATGAATTTGAAGTTTTCTGTATTATTTCACGTGTTATTTCTAGGAGCATACAAAACAGCACAATTCTTGGTGCTGAATTTACATTGCCAGACAAGTTTGCAATTAATAATAGGTTCCCTAATAATATATACATACTTGAACATATAAACTCATATACACAAGTAGTGAGATGTCGTTGTGAAACCTTATTCCCACATTCAAGTAGGGAGTTGGGATTGCTCAGATTCAAGCATCTATGAGGGGCATTATGAAGAAGATTACCTTTTATCACAATTATCAATCGCAACGCAATGGGCCAACCCTTATGCCTTTCTTATGTGCAATGGCCCGCAATTCCTCTGACAACAAGCTGTCCTCGATGATTACCTGAATTAATCGAGTGGCTTCCTGTGCAAATAATTCAACATCGGCTGCTGCAATGCTAAGGCAGCGAGTGATGTCGATGACCTCCACTGACCGGCCACAGTATCTGAGCAACGATACCAAAGATCCTCGAGTGAGGCACCTGCAACCCCTGAGCCTGATATCAATTAGATTATGGCAGGACGATAGCATGGCACCAACCTCCTTGTCACTGAGAGTCTCGTTGTATGACAAATCAAGACGGCGAAGGCGGCGCATGCTCTGGCTGAGGAAGGTAAGCAGTCCAGGCTCCCGTTCCACCACATCGCAGTTCACCAAGGCAAGCTCTTCGATACCAGCTCCAGTGGTTGTGCGTGCGAGGGACCGGAGTCCGTCGCCAGTGATGAGCACACAGCTCTGAAGCCGGAGCGCAGCGAGGCTATGCCCGCCATTCTGGCTTTGCTGACCTTGCTCGGCCTCGGCACCGATCGCTAGGAGGTGGTCATTGTGCAAGTCGAGAGGGAGGCGGAGGTCTAACGTGTGCAACGCTGCGCCACGCTGGTGGATGAACCGGTGGAGGGCCTCCCGGCTGCCGCCATCGTACACCAGGAGTGACTTGAGCACACGGCAGCGATCAGCAGCGAGGAGGAGGACGTGGTCAGAGACGGAGCGACAAGCACGGAGCTCTAGCGCGAGCAGGCCAGCAAGGCATCCCGCGAAGAACTGCGACGAGGGCCCGTCCCCAGTGCCGTCACAGGCGCGCAGCTGAAGCCACTGGAGGTTCCCACATCGTCGCCACAACCACCCGATCCCTCGGTCGCCGGAGCAGATGCCGCACAGAGACAGCCTCTCTAGAGGCAAAGAGCCAATGGTCTCACCGTTGCCGTCGACATCATCAGAGCTCCATCCGGCGTAGTCAACGGCGGCGGCGGCAGCGGAGTTGACGAGGTAGAAGGATTTGAGGCGGGGCAAGAACGCAATCCAGCAGAAAGAGAGGGGACGGAGGGCGGTCAGGTGAAGCGAGGTGAGGCCGTAGAAGGCTGGGCAGGCAGCAACCAGCGCCGCAGGCGAGATAGCCGAATCAGGCAGGAACCTCAGCCCGGAGAGCTGCGCGGCCGACGGCGAAGACGCGACCACGAGCAGCATCGCGTCCGCGACCTGGGCGGTTGCGGCTGTGCAGACCACCGCCAGGGCGGAGAGATAGGGGAACCGAGACAGCAGCGCAGAGAGCGGCGCCAACACCGAGGCGTCGGAGGAGACCGGCAGGCGGAGGGTCAGGGAGGCAATCGACGCGCGGAGGAGGGCGTACCAGCGGCGGGAGACGAGGGACACAGCCGGCGCGGAGGCGCGCGGCAGCAGGCGGAACACCTCCTGCAGCAGGTCGTCGCACAGCGCCGCGTCCATGCCGACGCCACCGCCGCAGCATCCGGCAGCGCGACGGCCTCCGCCGCCGCCTCCAGCGGTGGGGCGGGAGTTTGTCGGCGCCGTGGTTGCACGCCGGGGACTCAGCTCGCCATCGGATTTGGGTGGGGCCACGGCGCGTGCGTTGGATTTGGGGAAGGAAGGTAGGGGAAGGAAGATAGACCTGTGGCTTGCAAGATTGGGTATTTGGGTGGGGGAAAGAGGAAGGATTGAACGGGGATTGAGGCAGGTGTTCTAACGCGGGGCCCAGTGGACCCAACGCGCGAGCCTCCACGTCTCTGTCGGTTGTGTGGATTCGGTGCGGCTGCTGTGCGGCCGTGCGTACCGTCGTGGTAGAACTCGGCATTTACTGCTGAATCCTATCTAGCTATAAAGTTATTCTCCACTAACTTCTTAATCTTAATATGCAAAAATAATACATCATCATCCACTAACAAAATACCACATCATCATCCACTAATTAACAAGATGACACATCATCATTCACTAACAATCATCACATTTAAACATCATGCAAACATACTACAGTGTATCTTTATAGAAGCTTAACATGCAAAGATGTCACATCATCATCCACTAACAAGATGTCACATCATCATCCACTAATTAACAAGATGACACATCATCATTCACTAACAATCATCATATTTAAACATCATGCAAACATACTACAGTATATCTTTATAGTTTTTATAATTTAAGAGCTTTTCAAATACAAACATGTTAAATTATCATCCAACATAATTCACATAATGTTTCAATGTATATCTTTATTATATTTTATGATATCCTATATACTTATATATAGTATATATAGTTCATCCTCACTTAGTGATTAAATGATTAATCTATGGTCTGAATTACTTTCTCCTTTTTTTCCTCTAATTAAGTCATATCACATCAAATGTTTTTAGTCTTTAGATGATTAATCTACGGTCCAAATTATCTCCCTACTTTTCTTCTTCCAAAATCATACCACCTTACTTTTTACTTTTAAATCACCATTCTACATACTATTTAAATTTAAATTATCATAAACTACATTAATTTACTTAATCTGA